GGCTTTTTCAACAAGCGGGCCTGACCTAGGGTGAGTTTTAAATAGGGACAATTTTTAACGATTTTAAAGAGCCACAGCTACCAATATTTGGGTTTTAATTGGTTTTTAGTAGGGGAAATTTTTTGTATGATGTTTTAATACGCTGTGAGCCGCCCTGAGTCCCATGGGGAGAAGGGCGGCATATAAATCCTGTTAATAAATAATAAATAAATAATAAATAATCTAGTTAGGTAATGAAATGTCTGCAAGAAAACCACCAAGCTTAGAGAGCACCAAAGACCCCTCAGTTCCACCCTGACCTACAAATATTCTCCTTTATTGGTTTATGTGTATTCTTGCACGTCCTCAAAATTCTATGTGGACTCCCCAGGATGCAGCTATTATAAGTATGCAAATAAGTGATTCAATGTCCCTGGTGTGTATCATTCCTGTGTAGACACGCTCCTAAGAGATCTGGAGAAAGATACTTACCTTTATCACCATCTCAAAAGTAAAGACACCTGTAAATATATAATCCAGGTACTTGAGAGCCTGAAAACAGAAGGAGCAGTTCAAAAGTGAAAGAGGGTTGAATCCAAAGAAAAATACATTATATATAAAGAATCACATAGATTTCTTCTGCTGGGATGTTTCATCGTCTGTCTTGCTCTAAGATCTGAGACGTGCTTCAGTCTTACAGGCTCAGCTTAGGAGCTGGTCTTTGAAGCATTGGAAGCCGTGGTGGCGCAGTGGTTAGAATGCAGTATTGCAGGCTAACTCTGCCCAGTGCCAGCAGTTCGATCCTAACCGGCTCAACATTGACTCAGCCTTCCATCTTTCCGAGATTGGTAAAATGAGGACCCAGACTGTTGGGGGCAATAGGCTGACTCTGTAAACTGCTTAGAGAAGGTTGGAAATCACTCTGAAGCGGTATATAAGTCTAAGGGCTATTTCTATTGGTACCCGCTGGTGCTTGCTTGGGGATGCTAGACAGAAGCCGCTTTTGGAAAACAAGCAACTGGCCATTCTTTGTAAGCCACCTAGCCAGATCTCAGGAGGCACCCCTCTCTTCTAGGAAAGGGTGATATGCATTGAAGAAGAACTGCAACCCTTTGAGATCCATATTTGGTGGCCTGGTTGTCTTGGCAACAGGAATCAGTTCCATCTCCATCCCACACTCAAGCAGCAGAAAACTGCAGGTAGGGTGCCTGAAAACTGGGACCAAGGAAACATGCAGAAGAAGGCAAAGTGGAGAGCTGTGGTGGCGCAGTGGTTAGAATGCAGTATTGCAGGCTAACTCTGCCCACTGCCAGCAGTTTGATCCTGACCGGCTCAAGGTTGACTCAGCCTTCCCTCCTTCCGAGGTCAGTAAAAGGAGGATCTAGATTGTCGGGGGTCAAGATGCTGTAAACCGTCTAGAGAGGGCTGTAAAGCCCTGTGAAGAGGGATATAAGTCTACGTGCTATTGCTATCACTATCTTCAGCTCAACCCAGTACAGAGACATTCCTCTAGAGTTGAACACCTTCCCACAAGTCAACCTGAACTCTCATTTCTCACCTCATTTCTGGGTGACTCCGCTTGAACAGGGTCTTCAGCGGCCAGGGCAATGCTGCTGAGTGTGATAACAAAGAGGATGACCATCTCAAAGTAACGCATGTTGACAATGTAGTGACAGAGGCGCCGGAGACTGCAGAAGCCAAGCAGAGGAGTGGGAGAGGAAAGGTCAAGGAAGATGTGGTCGTATCGCATCAAAGGGGCCATATTGTCTCTCGGAAAGTTGACACAATATTGGATGTCCAAAGGAAAACATGAAAGGCTGGGATCAACATCTGCCACACTAGGGTAACTGTGAGGCTCTGGCAGAGCACCCCATGTGATGAGAAAGCTTTTGTTAACATGGTACAACAACTAATCAAGATCTTAGCGTACCCCTTCCCTGACAAATCAACACAGTCCCCACTCAACAAAGATGACTTACGGGTTAGTTGGGCTTAAGATGAACATGGAGCTGTAGGGAAGGATTGGTTTTGGTCTGCTGTTGGCCACGTCATCCTCAGCATCGATGTCCTTCTTCTCTTCCATTTTGGCTTCAAATTCAACATTGTTCACTGCAGGGTTGATCAGGATATTACTACATCTCAAAATGAGAATGTCTGAAGAGAGTCAGGGAACACTATTTTGTTGCTGGGGCCAAGAAGAAAATGGCCAGTTCTATTTTGGGAATAAAACCCAACTGAACTGGCAGCTTCTTTAGTGTATTTGTCCTTGAAGAAACCAGGCCATCCTACCAAAGGCCAGCTAGTTACTTGTGTCCCATGAGAAATACAAGATTTAACTCTTATCGCTTTCAATTAAAAGAATCCTGGAGCAAAGGGAGATCAGCACCCATCTCTGTCATATCTAGATTGTCAGGCATCCCAGCTTGGGTCAGTTAGAAAAGAAAGACTCTCAAATCCATTATTAGTGAAAGCTAAGTGGTTGCAGAAGAAGCAAAGCTGGATCTGAGAGTTGCGCACCCAAAGCCTATGATCAACTTTTCCCTTGTGGCCATCTTTCCCCCTAGTTATCACCAAGTGTCCAGTTAGGTGTTTGGGTAACAGTCCCTGTCTTCGCAGGCTGGATGGTTCTGCATTCCATAGAGTGACCTTGAAACGGCCGGCGACTCTCATGGGATGGCACAATGTGTAGTTTCGATTCCTCTCATGTTACTCTCCCTTTATCTCATCCTGCAATTCTTCCCCCCTCTCCCCGGTTGGGTATGGCAGGCAATGCACGGTGTGGCAGGATGGCAGCCCATCTGGAGTGCTGCCCATCCCAATGGCAGAGTTGCCTAACTAGATGTCAGCCCCGCAAGATTGGGAGACAAAGGGATAGGTTTTACAGTAACAGAATCTTGCAAATCTGAATGGCTTCCCCCCTTTGTCTTGGTGAGAACTAGAGAGGGTCTCGTCTTTCTCAAATTACCTTCTCTTATCTGAAGGCTGCCTCACTTGCAGCTCTTCCTCCTGTTCCTCGGGGTTATTCCTACGGATCGTTATACTAGAGAAGAAGGTGACCCACCCACTCCACCCCCCCCCAAAAAAACCCCAGCTTCTGATGTTACAAACACTCACTTGGTATGATGGATGCTTCCCCGGGAGGAGCGGTGACAGTGACAGGAATGTTGACAGGGGCAGCCTTGTCCAAAGATGGTTGACCCATGCGGGTGACATTCTTCTGATTGTCAGCATCCTCTGGCTGCTCAGGGACCCTCTGCAAACAGGTGCTGGGCAAGGTGTGTAGAGGGGCCACAGTCACGCTTATGCCCGCCTCTGTGTCACATTGGCTTTCCCTGAAGAGAAAGAATAAATAGGAGGATAATCTCATTTCTCCCATCCAAATCTTCCTACAGTTTCTTTAGCCCAGCAGAAAGTGGACTGAGGACTCCTTGGTGCTCTCTGAGCTTGGTTGTTTCCTTGCAGATGTTTCATGACCCAACTAGGGAACTTCCTCAGTGCTAGGGACGATGTTACCCAGCACTGATGATCTATAGAGATCCTGAGTCATCCAGGTCATGGCTGTCCCAAAGATGCTTTTTCACGAGACAACCGGATTTCCATGTTTTTCTTGGAAGGCGTTTCGCTTCTCATCCAAGAAGCTTCTTCAGCTCTGATTGGATGGTGGGGAATGGGAGGATTTATATTCAGCAGTTCCAAGAAGGATCCACACCCATTTGCATTACTCAGGTGACCCCGAGGACACAGACAAACCTCCAAGTGGCCTCAATGACTCTCTAAAAGAAGGTAAATGACCAGCTGTCTGCAAGGAGTATAAATCCTTCCATTTCCCCACCATCCAGTTGGAGCCGAAGAAGTTCCTTGGATGAGAAGCCAAACATAGGTAAACCTCCAAGTGGCCTCAATGACTCTCTAAAAGCATGCAAATGGCCAGCTGTCTGCAAGGAGTATAAATCCTTCCTTTCCCCCACCATCCAATTGGAGCTGAAGAAGCTTCTTGGATGAGAAGGAAAACATAGGTAAACCTCCAAGTGGCCTCAACGACTCTCTAAAAGAATGCAAATGACCAGCTCTGTCTGCAAGGAGTATAAATCCTTCCATTCCCCCACCATCCACTCAGAGCTGAAGAAGCTTCTCGGAGGAGAAGCAAAACGTCTTCAAAGGAAAAACAAGAAAGTCTGGTTGCCTCATGAATTAGCACTGATGATATTACCTAGTTAGGTCATGAAACATCTGCAAGAAAACAACCAAGGTCTCAGAGCAGCAAGGACCCCCTCATTGCAACCCTGAGCTGCTAATATTCTTCTTTATTGGTAGAACATAAACTGAAACCCACTGGAGGTTTTCCCCCAATAATCAGCAGTAGATTGTAAGGGGCTCGGATTCCCACTCCTTAGTAGAAAATTAGACTTCCCAAGATGGTTGGCGATCAACTAGCATGACCATTAGGTGGTAAGTAAAGAGTTCTAATTCCTCAGGAACATAATAGATGGCATTAAGCGAAAATGACACCTTACGGTGATTTTGCTGCAGATTTGTATGTTTAACTGCTGCTTATCACAGCAGGTGAGCCTTCAGGAAGAAAACAGATTCCACCTCCCAAATCACAAGTCTGTGTTTGACGCTTCACATCTCCCCTGCACATACACACAGCTCATTGCTGCTCTGCATTCGATTCTGCCCATCCAGCCATTATTCTGCAGTTGACTGTGCTTAATGGATGTTGGGGTTCCAAACAGAAATTAAGCTGTCATTTTGAAAATACGGATTCCAGGTATGGATAGATTAAAAGGAGTCACCTCTGTGTGAGTTGAGTAGCCATATAAATTTGTTTAATAAGTAATAAAATAAATAAGAGAGAGAGAGAGAGACAGAGAGAGACAGAGAGAGAGAAACAGACAAAGAGAGAAAAAGAGAAAAAGAGAAACAGAAAAACAGACAAAAAGAGAGAGAAAAAAAGAAAACAAAAGAGAAAGAGAAAGAAATAGAAATAGAAAGAAAGAGAGAGAAAGAGAGAAAGAGAAAGCAAAAGAAAGAAAGAGAAAGCAAAAGAGAAATAGAAACAGAAAGAAAGAGAAAGAAAGAAAGAAAAAGAGAGAAAGAGAAAGAGAGAATACAAGAGAGAAAGAAAGAGAAAGCAAGAAAGAGAGAAAGAAAGAGAAAGAGAAAGGGATATCCGGAAGATTACAGTTACAAATATCACAAACTAGGAGTTGCAGATCAAAACTGGCTTTATAGCAATCTCTGAAAGGCTTGAAAATTATTCATCAGCATAAATTTTGCCAAAAATGCAAGCCAGGGATCCCAAATGCCAGCCCATGGAGGAGGCCAGGATATTGTAATTGTCACCTGGTGATTTTTGACAACAGACCCAGAATTCTCTTTTTTCTCAGGAACTAGTTTTTTTAAAAAAAAAATCCAGAATCTTTACAAGGAGTGTTACAAGTTCTCAATGCTGGCCCACATCAGTTGTTATAAATCCAAGCTTCCCCCCCACCTCCCCATCCTCTATGCATCCTTATCTAGCCAACTCACCTTGGCTGCACATTCTTTAGATCCTTTCTCCCCAGCTCTCCTTCTTTCTCTCCGTTCTCCTTGTCCACTGACTCGTAAGTGGAGAGGGCCTTGTGCCGTATCTTTTGCCGTCGGTGGGGCTCTTCGCCCCCCTCCCCTTTGGAGCCAGGCTCCCCTTCTCGGTTGCCCGGCCTGGACCCTCCTCGGTGGCGGGAACGTCGTTCGGTCTTGGTCCCGTTGGCGGTCCCGTTGCCTTCTTTGACCTGTCGCTCAACGGGATGCCGATGACCTCGGTGGCGTCGGTGCTCCCTCTCGGCGCCTTCCTCCACGGACCCCCGGCGATGGTGATGCCGGCCTCCCTCCTGGCTCCGGTTGCGTTCGCTCTTCCCTTCCTTCCCACCCCCCTCGCCCACCTCTTTGCTGCGGCTCCGGTAGGGCCGGTGGCGTTCCTCCTTATTGTTCCCACCACCCAGTTCACCATTCTCTTCCTTGAGGGCACTGCTTTTTTCCGTGTCTCCCGTCTTCTCCTTCTCGCGATGCCGGTGGTGCTTCCTCACAACCTCGTTGTTCTCAGGCGGTGGGGTCTTCAGCTGGTCGGGGGCCTCCTGCCCCTCTGCAGGGCTGACGGCATTGAGGTTGCCGCTGTGGCCTTCGCTCCTGGGCTCAACCACCAGAGGCCGGTCCAAGTGAGTCTTCATGTCAGGACGGATGTGGAGGTTGGTCGCATAGCGGACCCTGTCCTCTGGATCCAGCTCATTGTACAGGGCTTCAGAGCTAGTGCGGAAGTTGTACACGCGGAGCTGGCTGGTCCTCTGCTCCCACACGGATTTGGATTTGCAGGAATTCTGCTGTTTGCTACAGAAGAGAGAGGTGGAGAGGAACACGGGAAGGGAAAAGAGAAGATAGGAAATGGAAGGAAAAGAAGAACGGATAAGAGTTGGGGATGGTACCATCGTATTTGACAAAGCAACATGACGTCTACGGAGATTCTCCATGCTCCAGCTTGACCCAAAGGTGCTTTTTCAAGAGGCAACTGGACTTTCTTGGTTTTCTTTGAAGGACATTTCACTTCCCATCCAAGGAGCTTCTTCAGCTCTGATGGGATGGTGGGGAATGGAAGGATTTATATTCAGCAGTTCCAAGAAGGCTCCACGCCCATTTGCACCACTCAGGTGCCCCTGAGGACAGAGATAAACCTCCAAGTCGCCTCAACGACGCTCTAGATTCTAGAAGAAGGCAAATGACCAGCAGTCTGCAAGGAGTATAAATCCTTCCATTCCCTCCACCATCCAGTCAGAGCCGAAGAAGCTTCTTGGAGGAGAAGCGAAAGGCCTTCAAAGAAAAACAAGGAAGGCCAATTGCCTCTTGAAAAAGCAGCTTTGGGCCAACGATGTGCCATTTAGCTAGGACTCTCGTCTCTCCAAGTTGAGAGAAAATATTGATCATAACATCTAGGGAGATTCTCAGTCAGCCAGGACCCCATGGCTGAAAAAAAGCCCTTGGAGAAGTTATTTTGTGGGGTTACTGTTCTCCTTAAACATTAAAAAAGGAAAAGCATCAAGGAATATCAATTAAATTAGAATACACCAAAAAGATCCATATGAAAAACCTAAGCAAGTTTTACTCTAAGAAAACCATAGAATAGCATGATGAATTTCTAATCATCATTATGAAATAACCCCTTTATGATAAAAAAAATAAGGTACATTAAACCCTATAAAACCTATTCTTAGCAATGCAGAAGTAATTAAATTAATGAAATGATGGGAAGTATGACCGTTAGACTCTACTTGTCTATTTTTCAATGAGTTAACTATTTTTTTTTTCTGGATAACGGGGACTTAACCATGATTTCTCTTGCATGAGGAAATAAATGCAAAGGAATTTCCTTGGGACTAGCATCCATGTCTCTTTAGAATGTTCTATTAAAAAGAATGACAGAATAACAGAATAACTATGGGACCTCGGAGGTCTTCCAGTCTAACCCCTGCTCAAGCAGGAGACTCTATACTATTTCAGACAAATGGCTGTCCAGTCTCTTCTTAAAAACCTCCAATGATGGAGCATCCACAACTTCTGAAGGCAAAATGTTCCACTGATTAATTGCTCTCGCTGTCAGGAAATTTCTCTTTAGTTCCAGGTTGCTTCTCTCCTCAATTAGTTTCCATCCGTTGCTTCTTGTCCTGCCTTCAGGTGCTCTGGAGAATAGGTTGACTCCCTCTTCTTTGGGGCAGCCCCTGAGATATCATGTCACCCCTAGTCGTTCTTTTCACTAAACTAAACATACACAATTCCTGCAACCGTTCTTCACAATACTTTTTTCTTGAAACCTGCAAGATTCATGGACTCAGATATGCTAGTTTACCCTGTACCCAGAATTCCAGAAGGAAAACTATTGGCCACCCCATAACCCATGAAAGGTGGGACCCAGATCTATGTCTCTTGCTGGCAACCACTCCCCCAGCATCAAAATAAACATGATCAATTATTGCAAGCTGTTCAGTGGAAAATTAAGAGCTGTAACTGGAACTCTGCAAGCATTAAAACTATATGCAGGAACGGGCAGAAGCCTGTTCATTGTGGTGCTAACAAATTCATCCTGATATGTCAATCTCCTAAAAAAAAAAGCAAAGTTATTTGCCTCCTCTGTAAATATAAAGTAAATCTTAATAGCAATGCTGCAGTTAGTTGTTAGGAGCATGGTTCTTTCCACCCATGGGCTCCTGTAGTCTTTCAAAAAATATTTTGAGGTAGATTAAAACTATGAGGGGGAGTGCAATGGTTAAAGATGCTGAGCTTGTCAGCTGGAAAGTTGACAATCCGGGTTCGAGAGCTGAGCGTAACGGTATGGGATGAGCTCCCGTTCTTACCTCAGCTCCTGCAGTTTGAAAATAGGCCTTTGGCTTCTACTCATGTTGGCCAAAATGTCTTTGGACAATGCTGGCTCGCTCGGTCAAGGAATGGAGACTAGCACCGTGCCCTAGAGTTGGACACGACTGGACGTGGAAACATTTACCTTTTTTAAAAATCCCAGGCGGATCAATATTGGGGATCCAGTATAGTGAGTTTATTATCTCAGAGGAAAAGATAGCCTTACTGTACGTTTTTCAGCTTATTTTTTCCATGTGGCCAACAACAGGACTGGAGATTTTTTCCCCCGAGCATTCTACGGAGATGTGTTCCCTGCTTGCCTCTCCTGATGTCGAGGCTCTGAACTCAGAGAAGTATCACGGGATCTGGTTGCACCAAAAATGCTCAGCACTCAGATAGGGACAGCCAAAAACGTCTCTCCTTTTGGGTGATATTCTCCTGGGGCCACAGGAACGTGGCCTCAAGAAAGTTCCTATCTATCGCCTAAAAACCATTTGCCAGATGACACCAAGACTAAAATCAGGAACGCGCGGCTCCATGCACAGCTGATTCACACTGAAAATGTCACAGCTCTGAGTCACTGCTCAGAAGAACAAGAGGTCTTAGTGAAGTAACCCCAACCCTTGAATCTCCTCAATGCAAGGGCCTATTTGAAGACTCTTGGACAGGTTGAGATCTATCCCTGCAAAATTCCACCAATGGGCTTGTTCTGGGGTTATAAGATCCTGGTATGGATTGACCTCAGTCAGTTCTTGGGGGTGGGGGGCAGGATTTATCTCAAGAACTGCCATCTTGGAGGACCTCCAAGACAGGCACGTCACAACATGTACTTTAACTGTCTCAAATTTTGTTTGTTATCTGTAGTGGTCAGTTGAAATTGGTAATCTCACAAGGTAAGCTGCGTCCAGAGATCAGGCAGACCACAGAGGGACTATTGGCTAATCCCATGTCTTCAAGATAGTCTTCCTGCTCTCATCTGCATCATCATCATCATCATCATCATCATCAAGTTGGAAGGGACCTTGGAGGTCATCTAGTCCAACCCCCTGCTCAGGCAGGAAACCCTATATACCATTTCAGCCAAATGGCTGTCCAGTCTCTTCTTAAAAACTTCCAGTTGTTGGAGCATTCACAACTTCTGAAGGCAGGTTGTTCCACTGATTAATTGTTCTCACTGTCAGGAAGTTTCTCCTTAGTTCTAGATTGCTTCTCTCCTTGGTTAGTTTCCATCATTTACTTCTTGTCCTGCCTTCAGGTGCTTTGGAGAATAGCTTGACTCCCTCTTCTTTGGGGCACCCTCTGAGATACTGGAAGACTGCTATCATGTCCCCCCTCATCCTTCTCTTCATTAAACTAGACATCCCCAATTCCAGCAACCGTTCCTTATATGTTTTAGCCTCCAGTCCCCTAATCATCTTTGTTGCTCTTCTCTGCACTCTTTCTAGAGTCTCAACATCTTTTTTAAATCGTGGTGACCAAAATTGGATGCAGTTGGGGAAGGGGGGGAAGACACAGGGTGAGAAAAATCTATTAAATGGGGTCAAAAAAGAGAACCAAGCTTTTAACTGGAATCATGAAGGGTCAACAAAGAAAGGAGGCAAAAGGGAAAAGGGAAGGGAACAGACAGGGCACAGAGAACATGCAAAGACATGGATATGGAGCCGGGAGCGAAAAAGAACACTGGAAGCTCAAAATCACACGTTGGGAATGCTCAGAAGAAACTCACAAGCCTTCGCAGGGTTATGCTGCCCAATTGATGCTCCGTCATGAATTTCCACAATGAAAGGGGTGACTCAAAGCCGGGGGGGGGGGGAAACAGGGTAGGGAAAAGTCTATTTGGGAAAAAAATGCTTATCGATTTATAGATATACTGTAGATATATATATAAGCTACATAATCAATCCATTTACTGAATAGTGTATACGGAGGGCAACTCACGGTGAATTTACGCTGGAGAGCGACGAGCTGCGCGATATGGAACTTCGAGTTTGCTTTACAAAACTGCACATGCGAGAAACAGAAGAATACAAAAGTGAGAGGGAAAAGAAAAGAAAAACCCGGTGAAAATCTCTAAAGAGGAAAAAAAAAGGAAGGGAAGGAGGGAGAGAGAGAGAGAGAGAGAGAGAGAGAGAGAGAGAGAGAGAGAGAGAGATCAAGGGGGCCCTTAACAAACTCCAGGAGTGAGAGGGTGCAGGCTGGGAATGTGCATTTTGGAAGGAAACCACGGTCAGCATACTTCAGGATAAGAGTTTGGGATGAAGTCAGAGACATCATCTGTTAAACCAAAAAAAAAAAAAAAGAAAGAAAAAGGGAGGGGGAGAATAAAGCGAAATAAAAAAATAAATTAAAACAGAAAAAAAAAAGTTCAAGAGGGGATTTGGTGTTTCTACAGTCTCTTTCTCTCTTCCAGACATTGTATCGTCCAAACGTCACTCCGTTTAAGAGGAATTTCAATTCAGAAAACTGTGGGGTCCTTGGTGCTCTCTGAGCTGGGTTGCTTTCTTGCAGACGTTTCATGACCCAACTAGGTAACATCATCAATGCTAGAAGGGAGTGGGGTTTGTGGGGGGGGGAGGAAGAGGAGGAGGAGGAGGCCAATTGTGGGGTCCTTGGTGCTCTCTGAGCTGGGTGGCTTTCTTGCAGACATTTCATGACCCAACTAGGGAACACCATCAGTGTTAGAAGGGAGTGGGATTTATAGAGAGGAGAACAAATACTGTGGGGTCCTTGGTGCTCTCTGCTCTTGACTGTTTTCTTGCAGACATTGCATGATCCAACTAGGTAACCTCATCAGTGCTAGAAGAGAGAAGGGTTGGGCTCTGTTTTTAGACAAGAAATTCAGAGATAATGCAGAGAACCATCTGAAGTGGACCTTGGCTGGTGCTAGGAAGTCACAGTGTTATATACGACAACCCGCCTCCCATTTGAAAAATTAACTTGCTTAATCCCATTTCCTGAAGGAGGTAAAGAAGACATTTCGAGATCTATCTCACGAATACGTCACCTTTTTAGTATAAAAGACCAGAATGCATTTTGTGGAATGTGTAGTTAGGCGAAGCAAGGGGTTAGTACGGTCAAAGCTGCAACACCGTGCCCAGAGTAAACTCCTCACCCTGCCCGTGTTCCTTTTAACTGCCCCTTATTTTATTTTCCCCTAAGCAAATTCCCCCACATGCCCTCCCACCTTGTCCAAACCTTAAAAGCAGGAAGTTTTGACTTAGGTGGAAACTAGGAACAAGGGTCAATTCTGCATCTTAGATTTATCACGGAAGCTTAGCTGAACAGAGAACTCTTTGATTACACAAACTAAGAGAGAATGAGTTGGTTGGTTGGTGGGAAGGAAGGAAGGAGTGGAAGGAAAGAAAGGAAGGGAAAAAGGAAGGGGAGGAAGGAAAGAAGGAAGGAATGAAAGGGAAAAAGGGAGGGAGGAAGGAAGGATTCAAGGAAGGAAGGAAAAATGGAAGGGATGGGAAGGAAGGGAAAAAAGAAGGAAGAGAGAATGGAATGGAATGGAATGGAATGGAAGGAAGGAAGGAAGGAAGGAAGGAAGGAAGGAAGGAAGGAAGGAAGGAAGGAA